CTTCTGCAAGACTGCAGACATTTTTTTCCTCATTTTCATAGTTATATACATAATATAATACAATTGTATATGTTATGTAGTACAGTGTAACACAGTAGTTGACATCCAGTAATAACAATATAAAAACTGAACTAGAAAAATCAGTATAAGGGCAGGCCAGTTAGCTCGGTGAATTAAAGCACCTGCTTAGGCACATGCAAGGGCCAGGGGTTTAATCCCCAGCTGCCATGCTGGCCTCGTCCCCTGGGCATGCTGAGATTAAGACTGGGCGTGGTGGCACACACCTGTAATCCCAGCACTTGGGAGGTTGAAAACAGGAGGATCACTACAAATCTGACCTGTGTAGTGAGACCCTGTACTAAATGCCTTAAAAAATTGAAAAGAAAAACCGTGTGTATTAGGTATTAGGCTAAATATTTTTAAAACTTTAAGAGTTTAAACTTACATTTAAATTTATGAACTTACTTCCCTGATTGTTCTAGTCTGTTAAATATCACACTTTGTAAGAGAAGGGTTAGTCTTACTTTAAATTGAACATAACGTTTCTCATAGATGTTCAATATTGGTTTACTTTCCTAATTTCTATGTCTAGATCATGATGTTTTGATTACAGTGTTCATCTTGTGAGAATATTATGTGATATTATTTACTACTGAAAGCTAGATATGTGAGTCTACCTACCAGATTTAACCAACTGAAAAAGCTAAGACATCATTTGGCTCAATAATTGAGGTCTAGGGGCTGGGGAGATGGCTCAGTAAAATAAACTCTTGCCTGGAAAGCGCAGGGGCCTAAGTTCAATCCCTGGTGCTGAAAAAAAAAAAAAAAAAAAAAAAAAAAAAAAAAAAAAAAAACAAGAGGTCTTAGCAAATTCCTAAATAATGTATCTTTCAACCATTACTTTGTCATCTTTAGCAGGAAACCTGCATGCATAAAATTAGAATATACTAACCAGACTGAACTATATAAAATTTAAGCCACTGAACTCTTCCCTTAGTGGACTATCGCAGTGATAACGAAACAGAAGAAGTGCTTCCTCTTTTAATTCCCTTTTTTTAAAAGAAAAAAAAAATTGAAAACAATACAAAATTGTAAAATCAGGTAATAGGAGATTAACACTAGTTAATACATTGCATATTGCTATCTCCAAAGTAGTTGCTCAGATTGCAGGATATCACTGTGTGCCAATTTTAACTTCCTGTAAATTTTCAGTCTCAGTGAGGGTATAAGGTGAGAAAAATACCTAATCAGATATGCTAATAGCAAGCTCAGCAGAACAATCACTTACATTGCATTTCAAAAGGTCTATTTATAGGTAGTTCACTGGGTGTTTTGCAGAGGGGCCCCACTGAGGCTAGGTGCATCCTCCTCACAGATTTTTTAACATGGGAATCCAAATTCTGGACACCTCAGTGGTCTCAGAATGCGGTTGAATGTACTTTTTTTCTCCTCTGTTGCACCCCTTCTTTTTTTTTCTGCTTTATTTTTAATGTCCAAAAATATCTCAGAATACCAGGAACAGCGCAAATGCTACATAATTAGTATTTGCTGCAAAGAAAGAAATGATTCAGTTATTTTTTTTTTTCATCTTGCTCTCTGAACTCTGCCTTTGGTGCCTCTGCTGGGACTTGGATCCCTGGGCGTGCAGGGTGGTTGTGCTCTGCCTCCTCCGGGCAGCCTCCCCCGCACAGTGCAGCTGACAGGCTCACTCGCGGCACTCCACTTTTATTTTCCACACTAGCTTTTCTCATGTCAGTGTTAACTGTTTAAATTGATATGTCAACCTACTTATCTTTTTTCTTGACTTCCCACTGCTATTATCCTAATGAAAAATTTAAATTTTCAGGTTCCACTTCAGAAAGCCTCTATCCCTTCTTAAATCTCTAGCAAATAAATATCTTTCTCAATTTGGATTTTATTCTATCCACTGTTAGCACATCTGGTGGTGGCACCACCTAAAGACGCTGGAGCATATATATCCAACTGTTACCATAGAAACTCTACTGGCACCCTCAGTTGCCATGTCCCGCATCTGTAGTTAGTCCATAGGTTAATCATCACAATTTATGGCAGTATTGCAGTACATTGTTTAAGCTCATTTCTTGTTGGCTTGTTTTGATAATTTCCTTAGATTATTTTAAAAGACAAGCTAGACTGAAATTTGCCACTATCAGAGAACACTTGAATAGCACCAGGAATAATTTTTCACTTAAACAATAGTTACTGTAATATAGTGTTATAATCAGCAGCAATTGAAGGTGATCCGATATAACCCAGTTCTACAGCCCTAGATTTATTTAGTTCTGCTAATTGATAGAAAGCATGTCTTCTGTATGACTCGGATCAAGCCTCTGTGTCTCTTAAAAGTAAAATGTGAATATGTTATATCCAGAGAAAATGATATGAAAATATGCTTCTATAAGAATAAGAAACTAGATAATGCTTTATAATATTTAATTTATGTTCATGATGCATGATTTCCCATTTTACTGTACTTCATGAAAGAACTTTAGAAGTGAAAGATGGGGAGCAAAAACAGACGAGATTCAGGTCAAAGAACACAAACAGCTGTGCAGCAGGAGCAAGTCTACAGAGCAAATGAGCAGCGAGGGAGCTAGAATTAGGGAAATCGCAATGCCTTAGTTTTATGAGATGAATGGATCTCGGCTGTATCTATAACAGACTATAGAATAATCATTCTATAATTATTTCATAAATATGGTACAGAAGCTCATAGTCCCAGCTGCTCACCTCGTAGCACAAGTGTGAGATGTGCTTAGTGCGCTCCCGACATATCCCACACATCACCTCAAAGTGCACAGAATGGACTTTGTGTTTACCTATTTCTCCATTCCTGCTTTACACTAGTGCTGTTACACATTTTATTTTTCTGTATTATGAACCCTAGTGTATATCACTATTATTTTTGCTTAAAACAAGGCCCAAGAAATGACATCTCACATCCATGTTTGGAAAATAAAGTTTTACTGCAACATAGCCCAAAATAAATAACCAAAAGATTTCTCACAAAGAGAAATAAGAAATTTTGTGTCTGGGTCTTTTTTAATATTAAGTATCTTAAAATATTAAAATATATTTTCATCAAATGTTTTGAATAATGTTTGTCTGACTCAAAGAGAGAAAGATAGCTGGTCTTCACAGCCTTGGTTTTGAAGATGAGGTAATCCCTAAGAACATTCACTTTCACAAAATTACAGGTTATCCTTTTTTAAAAAAAATTTAGTCAGTTTCCTTGCCTGTTTTGTGACCTAAATTGTTGTCACCATTTCTGTAATTATTATCACCATTTCAGCAGATGTTCTATAATTATTTCACATATATGGTACTAAAAGAATTTTTACTAATTTTTATTTTACTTAGAAATGAAGATTCTAAGATAGATTCCTTCAAACACAAATAATCTTCCAATTTTATAACATGCACTTTGCATTTTTCAGTATTTGGCCTCTTAGTTGTTTGACATCATTTCATATTTTATGTTAAATTTCATATTTAAAGATTATCACAGAGAAGGTAGATTAACTCATGTTTCAAGTCAGAAAAAGCAGTTTAGTTTTATGTTCATCCAGTGAATATTAATATATCACACATGATATATTTAATCAGTCAAATTATTATTATATAGAGGAATATACATGTTACTTTCTTCACGGATCATAATCTCATACCATATAGCATCAATAAAGTGTTATTTGTTGCTTCCTTGCTTCATTCACCTTTGATATCTGTCATTGACGTGGGGTATACATTTGGTTTTGTATCCTTTTTCTTAAAATGTGATTCTAAAGACCCTTCAGCTTGAATTATATAGTTCTGCCATCCACAAATATGGCTGCAAGTTGAACTTGACAGGGATCAATATGATCTGGGCTAAATATCTAAATGTGACTGATTATGTTAGCATCATGCCCACGGATCAATATTGGGTTTTATTATGAGCCTGACTCTATAATTGGGTTTAATCAATAAACTTTTGTCTCTTTCCCTTTACAATTTTAGGGCTGTACCATGTAGGTTTTAGAAACTCCACTTAGCTTACATTTAGGACTCTGCTTTTCTTATGGTGACCAGAAAGAGATCTGTCTGTGAATTTTAAGGAACAATGGAGCGTCACCATTACCATTGTGAGAAGAGCCCACTTTCATCTTGATAACTGACTGCTTGCCCGCTATGTGCCGTGTTTCTAACAGAGTTAATGTAGTAACACCCAGCCTCCTTTTGGGGAGTATGTGGCTTTTTCTCTATATGCTTAGTAAATCACATTGAAGACCTTGACAAAACATACCATTAATGAAAGCAATCATAAAAGCTTGCCTTTTGAGAAACCCGCAGGGTCTCCAGGCGTTGAAAAACGCAATCTGTAAAGAACAATAAATTTGGGCCTTTGATTGAAGTGCCATTTGGGGCGTTGTGCTTTGTCTGCATATTTGCACAAACAGGATGCTCCCTTTCTCATGTCTCTCAAACTTGAAGCTTGAGAGCATTCATTGCCATTTCTACATTAAAGTTGGTCCCATTAAAAGCTCCATACAAAAAGAAGACTGGAAGTGATCCAGCGGAAGCATGTGTGTGCATTTCTGCCCTAGTTTGCCATTTGGAAAGCAAGCTTCTGGCCATTGTTGCTGTCATCATTTTATGAATAGAGCTCGGTTCTTTTCCAGTTCTTTCTTCAGTAAATATATATTTAAAATACACTGATGTATTCCATACCTGAAAAATTTGATCATCCCTCTGACAGATAGTAGAATTAGCTTTGAATGAATGTAGAATTTCTTCATTCTAAATGACTTTTTGTCATTTTTGTGCAGAGATTTGTGATTTTTAATAATATGCTGAATTATTTCCATCCTATTTTATGAGATGAATGATAGTCTTCTGTTATCATGTGGCATGAATTTTGTGTTCTTCAAAAGCCATATATGTTTATTGCTAAAGCAGACAGATAACTGTGCTGTGTTCATGCTTTTTAAAATTCGCAGATGCAGACCGCCTTCAGAAACATGGTATGGATGAGTTTACTTCTGCCAACCCTTGCAAGCTCGACCACGCCTTCCTTTTCAGAATACTCCAGAGGCAGACTTTGGATCACAGACTGAATGATTCCTATTCTTGTTTGGTGAGTATCAGTCTACCTATCTGGTCAGCTATAGGCTAAGAATAAAAGATTGTAAAAAGTGCGAAGTTCTTGGGATCAAATAGCATTTTATTCCTGACATTTTATTCCATTTATAACTGTATTTGGAGTAAAGGATAAAGGATTCCAATCGATTGCTTCCCAATTTGAAAATTATACACTTGGAGACTGCTGCTGTGCTACTCAATAGACAGGAGAGTAGACATCAATGGGAACTGAGCTGCATTTCTTCAGTTCCTCCAGAGAAGGCTAAGTGAGAACAGAATGCCTTAAGTAAAGACTTTTAAAAAGCTGTGTTAACAGGGTATACCAACACCTGCACAGACATTTTCCAAACATTGATATCTGCATTTCCTTCTTTGCATTTTAGGAGGAGAACTTAAGTTGCAGGGAGAAAAGACAGTAGGATAAACGATTTCATGTGTAACACAGGAGAGTTCCATCAAGCCTGCCACAGAGAACAGAATTCCTTAAAAAAAAATGAGGCAAAGGAAAATGAGTAGCTAGACTCCTATCTGGTATGCATTGAAAGGGTAGCCAAAATTCAAGGTAAAAGTAATAATTTTTATTTGGAAGGGACACTTGACATCTCACAATGTGGAGACTCAGCCCTAAAGCTCAGAATGCTATGTGCCCTGCCAAATATTTATATCAGAAATGATAGTTTTTTTCTGGAATTTTTCCTTCCAGAATATGTCTATTTCTATTCACACCTCAATCCTTTAAATGCTGAACTACATTTAGTTTGTTATATTTGCTTTAAAGTAAGGATTTAGACAGAAATTCTCCTAGCTTGTTGGAAATACTTCAATAGATGAAGATGTTTAATAGATGTTTAATTTCTTCATTAAACAATTTGCTGCAATAATCACATTGATGCTTCATTAGTTCATTCATAGATTTTTTTATTAAGTAGCTATTATTCTGCATGAATTGTGCAGTTTAAAACCTGACCCACCCGTCTTACATTCCACAGTTACATGGAGAGTACAGCAGAGTGTCACAGAGCTCTCTAAAGCCTTTCGAGGATGAGCACACATAAAGTGAACATCAATAAGGAGCAGCTTCCTCTTGGATTCCACTCCAAGCGGGGAGCTGCTGAGCTACCACACATTGTTATGATTTCGTTGATGAACCATGAGGAGGGTCTGCAGTGTTTCTCCCACTACACCTACAGGGGAAGAATGTGATGTGATTTGGAGGTGTTTGGAAGCATGATAACCATGTTACAAATCAAGCTACCAAATGATTTGTACTGGGGGTAGATAACTCACCAAGCATTGCTCAACATTAGCTTATTTATCTGTAACATGGAAAGCATAACATATTGCCTATTTTATGTCATCTATATTTAGAACTGGGCTGCTGAGATAGCTCAGTGGACTAAGCACCTGCTTAGGCAAGCTCAGAGACCAGGGTTTGATCCCGCATGTCATGCCAGCCCTGACCTAGGCATGCTGAGCCAGCTACCGAGTCTGGGCATGGTGGCACACACCTGTAATCCCAGTGCTGGGTGGCTGAAAACAGGAGGATCTCTACTAGCCGAGCTGTGGTAGTAAGACCCTGTACCAAACACTTTAAAATATATTATGTGCCAATTGTTTCTTTATATACTGTGAATATGTATAGGTTCTTTAATATAGTAAAGATATCGCATGTTTAACATCCATAGTATGTTTACTACCACTTTGTGAAGTATTCTGGTGATTCTTTTTCTCCATTTATTTATTACCTCCTCATCTTTCTGTTCTTCTCCTTCTTTACCTTCCGTTTGATATTTACCCTGCTTCCTTTTAAAACTGTCCTTTTACCTTCTTTCTCTTCATAACTTTAAGCTAATCTGCCAACATGAGTTTAATTTAGATTTTTTTTATAAACCACTCTACCTAACCCTGCTCTGGTATGAGCCAGGTAAGCTCTTGCTGCTCCAGAAAGTGTCAACTCTATTATATTAATCGTAGAAAAACAGAATGAAAAAAAGTACTCAGACATTACACACATCTCGCTGCTTGGCTTAACTAAAATTTTCTGTTAGAGACTATTTTCCCATCCTCTTTGTCAATGATCCATTCAGAGGCCAAAGATGGAGGATTTTTGAATGTCATTCTTTGTAACTGACAAAAGTAGCTCCAATGAATAAATTTGGCTAATTTGAATGACAGTACAGAGAATAAAACAAGTTCCCTATTCCTTGCTAAGGCAGTAAAGAGAAAATAGTATTAGATTGCCAGTGTCGCAAACCATTTCTACCATTGATGGCATTAAATCTTCTGAAAATGATGTGAAATACATCACTAATAAAGCCAATGTCATAAGACACTTTAGCTTGCTTCTTACATTGGCTACAGGTATCTGCAAAACACAGAGACACAAATCTTAGTATAGACCGAGCAAATGTCTCTTTGTCTCTCTCACTCTTTCCCACTCTCCTTTTTTTTTTTTTCCTTGTAGGGATGGTTTAGCCCAGGCCAAGTCTTTGTGTTAGATGAGTACTGTGCCCGCTATGGTGTGAGAGGCTGTCACCGACATCTGTGCTACCTTACAGAGCTGATGGAACATTCAGAAAACGGCGCTGTCATTGACCCGACCCTACTTCATTACAGCTTTGCGTTCTGTGCATCTCACGTGCACGGCAACAGGTATTTTGCCTTGCAAATTCATAGTGAAATGTGTAAGGTTGACGTTGGAAAAGAGAAAAATGTGCCTTGCCATCATCACCTAGTAACGGATTTAAAATAGCAAACACTTCTCATAAGGAAAAAAAAAATAAAAGAAATGTACATCAGCATACTGTTGATTCAGGTGGGCTGCACTTTGTTTCTTTTTGCTGGCAAAACCACTTGAAAGACAGAAAGAAAAAATGTCTAGGAGAGTAGGATTTGCCTTTTAGTTCTTATGTGCTACCTGGTGCTGGGATCTGTACTGTCTTAAGTGTCCTTAAATGATGATTCCTGTTATAGTACATATTTATGTTTGGGAAGAATTTGTTGATAAGTGTGCATGGCTAAGGATCCTTGCTTTTCTTTTATATACTCATCGATCAGGCGAGATGAACTGTGGGCTTTATGCAGAGTCTGCTCCTAGCTTGTTCCCCCACTTCCATACTTAAAATATGTGTCCCCCTCTTAGCACTTTAAGTCAGGGGCCTGTCCTCTTGCTTTATGTAGAAGTCAAGAAAAGTAGGTCGTGTAGACCTGCCCATTTCTGTTCCTCTGGCTAAAATCTGCCCACGTCCCTCTCCCTCTGTTCATCTTTTGCTAGTCTAGGACTCTTCTTGTGAAGGAAAGGCCTCTGCCTGTGGCCCTCCTTTAACTATTGCTCCATCCTTCCCTCCTTGTATGCGTTTCTCAATCTTCCCACAGACCTACAGAAGCTATACATAGCCTCAAAACATCAGGCAGTGACCAAGGGACTCTGAATGTAGAATGTCTGTGTTCAAATATACATTAGGAACAGTGTGACGCTGTGTGTTGATAAGACATCTATCCACGTCTCAGATTTCCCTACCTATAAGGAAGACAAAAAATATTGTCACATAATTCATAACTTGTAGTGGATATCAATAAATACCAAGCACTTACAACAATGTCTACCTCAGCAGTATTCATTCAAAAAATAATAATATAACTTTATATTGTTGTTAACTTGTCAGGCTAGCAGTCCATCTTCCTTTTTCTTCCCACATTTCTTGTACCCCTATCCAGATTTTGTTTGTTGTTCTTTAGCTGCTAATAAGGCTTCTTGAAATGGGCTGCTTGCTTTTCAAACTTAATCTTTCTTTTGGCTTTTTCTTAATCATGCCTTTTCACCTGTTTCTCCATATTCCTATGTAGAATTAGCCTGTTTTCTCACATTTTTTTCAAACGTGAGCTATTCTTTTAGGGAACAGTTCTACTGCAGTGATTTCACCCCTTCTATAACTTCGAACGTGACTTCTCCACATGCAGATAATTCCAACCCAATTACTCTCCTGAGCTACAGATCTTTGTTGACAATTGGCAGCTCAAATGTTCTGCTGATCCCATCGTTTCTCCATGTATAAAACTAAACTTATCATCTCACTAAGCAAGCTGCTGTGTATCTCTGACGGAGCTCCTGAAAGAGTGCCTAGCCAAAAGTAACACTCCTGAGCTGAGCATGGCGGCACATGCCTGGAGCCTTGCATTCTGGAGGCCAGGCAGCTGGATTATAAGCTGAAGGCCTGCCTGAGCTGTGCTGTGTGATAATGAGTTATGAGCCAGCCTGGACAATAAGCAAGACTTTGTCCTAGCCCCACTCCCCTGAAAAAAAAAAAAAAAAAAAAAGGAAATTATGGGACTCCTAGCACAAAATAATATTATAATAAATATTTGATGAATAAATGATGTCATCATTAATATTCCTCCTACTAGTACACTTATTAATTTCTTGTTTATTTATCTCCTAGGTCAAAATTGTTGCCAATGTCAATAACAGTATCAATATTTGTCCATGATCATCCTATTCTGTCAAGTCTTAATTATACATGGGTTTAACGCATGCACCCTGTGTATTCTCCTTTGATATTTATCTTTCTGCTGGCCATTATCAGATAAATATCACAAGATTTAAGAAAATACCTAGTAAGTCTTTCAAACACTAAAAATCATTTTATCTATAGATAGCTCTTTTATCATGTACACTTAAATGCAAGACATACAAGTATGCTTCAGTTCTACTAGATTGCATTTGGAAAACAGAAATTAATTTTCATTCACAAGAGACAGTTTTAGTAAAATAATCTGTATTCCATGACACGGTGCCTCACATGCCGTGGGCACACACCATGGGCAAGTATCTGTCCCAACCCCTGCTGCTGCCACTTCTCAGTCCACAATATAAAATCCTAGAGGCTGAGACAGGAGGACCATAAATGTGAACCCAATTTGGGCAACTTAGAGACCTAGGAGACCCTGTCTAAAATTTTAAAATGTGCAGGAGCATATATCAGTGTGAAATCCCTGAGTTCAATACCCACTACAACAAAAGAAAAAAGATTGATCCGAGTCTTAGAATCTATTTAGGCTTTTACTTCATTATGGATATCGTGCTTACCATGTTACCAATGGTAGTTTTTCCTAATATCCCAAACTAAATGTGCTATGCTCTGCTTATGTAGGATTCAGGAACCAGTGGGGGTGTCTAATCTTTTTTTTTTTTTTTTTTTTTTGGTGGAACCCGTGATTGAACTCAGGCCTTTGCACTTGCCAGGGAAGCGCTTATTCCACTGAGCCATCTCCCCGGCCCCAGGAATGTCTAATCTTCGATAGCCAGTGTCAGAAAATGTTTCACTAAACTCTCTCTTGCCTGCTCTCTCATCTTGTTCTGTTTGAATTCCTCCAAACTAATAAATAACTGAAATACAAGGGACTAGGAAGACTGCAGTGAAACAAACAAAACCAAAGGTTGTTTAATCAGAATATTTTAATCACCAACGTAAAAAGGTAGAATTAAAGTGTGAACATGAAGTGGGAGGTGCAGCTAGTGAGCCCCCCAAATACACGTATTTGAGCCACATTCTAATGGAAAATTACCAAGGGACACATGAGCTGCTTCCTCCACCTAACAGGTACACTGATTTGAATCAGAGGTTGCTACAGTTACCTTTATTCTATAAAGTATTGTTTGTTACAATGATACCTTGTAATTTAAGATATGTTTATGTGTTCATGCATATTTTATGCTTGATATTACACATTGACTCCTATTTAAAAATTAAAATATACACATAGTCAGGTAGCCTGGTGCTTAGAGTAGAAATTTGAGCCCATTTCTGATTCTACATTAAATGTCATGTAACTGAAGGAGAAAAAGGGAGGAAGTGCTAGCTGTAGTGAAACTTGACTCTTAGTTGAGGGTAGAAGTTATAAGGAGTAAGCTACGAATTACGATGTTTCCTGTAATAGTTACAGAGAAAATAGTATTCAACAATGTCACACCACCACAATGAATGAATAAAGAAGCAAGGATTGTCTACAAGAATCCTGGCTCTGAAATTTACAAACTGTGAGGCAGATCACTTCACCTTTTCAAAATTCAGAGTTCCCTTAGATAAAGAGGAGAAATGGAAGACAATTAGAAATACCAGACAACTAGAAAACCTGCATCGGTATTGATTACTGGTCTTGTCCTAATGTGCTCCTTTTGTCACACAGCCCACAAGGATGTGAGTTGTGAGGAGAGGAAAAATGTGAAAAATGGGGAGTAGGGCTGCACTGAATCATGCCAAGTAGGAACATTTCATTGTGTAGGGACTTATAGTCTTAATTTCTTTGTTAATAGAGTGTTCAGGTCCTAGCAACTTCCCCTCCTGAAAGTGTGCTTCTCTTGTCCAAGTCTGCATGTGATGTTGGTACAGACTTTTGTTTAAAATGCTGCCAATGTCAAGTCTTTCTGCAGTGTTTGCTGCCCTCTTTTTTATGATCATTTTTACATTTGTCAAGAAGACATAGTATTCAGTGAGTCATTTTGCTCATTACCTGAACCACCTCTTGTCAAAAATTCAAAAGGAAGAAAGATTGCCTTTTGTTACTGACTGAAGTGAAGGACGGCAGTGCTGTGTGGGTTTGAAATCCTCCCGGGAGTGCATCCTATTACAGTGCTGAGGTCTCTAGGTGTGTGTGTTCTGTGTGGCGCATCTCTGAATAGCACTCTGAGTGTTGCAGAGATAAAAGAACAGAGTTAAAGAGAAGAGGCCTGGCTGGTCCCAAGACTGAGGAAGAGAGTTAAAAAGAAAAGAAGAAAGAAAGAAAGTGAGTCAAGGACAGAAACTGACGCACTCCTGCAGGATGGTAACCACACATACCTGTGAATAGCACAGCCACTCACTTGGTGATAGTACCACAAGGACTGACAGGAAGAAGAAAAGAGACTCTGAGACAATGCATGGTAGGGCAAAGTTCTAGGTTGATATTTGTGCTTATACGTCTTGGTTTTGTAAATCAGGCTGAGGACAGAAATTAAAGCGGCAATACAATGTGGCTTTTATGTCCCAGTTTAATAATGTGAGGCATGCAGTGTATTCACTAGCTTGTCTAGCATTTATCAGGGCCCTCAGAAGGGTGCTGCATGCCTTACAAAGGCCACCTCAGATGTACCGGCTTTCAAGTGTAAGGCACAAGAGGACAGCAGTACTGTAGTATGTATAAAATAAGCCCTGTTTTCCATGTATTCTAGATCATGCCACGGTGGTGAACAAGCTAGACGGCCTCACCCAAATCAGTGTATTATGATACTTCCTGCTGTATGGCTGATAATGTTTCCCCTTGACTATTTAGAAATTATATCTCAACTTCCTCCCTCTAATTTTAGAAACAGTGATGCATTTTCAATAGCATGATAGATATTTTATCAAAATTTTTCACTATGCAGAAATTTTCACTATGATTGGTTCCTTCATTCTGATCTTGAATTTATGATTTAACCCCAAAATAATTAAGTATAAATGCCATAGGAATTGTTGATGTGGAGAGGCTTACCTCTGGGGCAGGAACATAGGCAGAGTTACCCTGATTGTAGTATGGCTGATCCAACAGACATTATTCTCTATGATACATACACAGAAGCAAGAGAATTGTATTGATAAGTGTCTTTTAAATATGCACAAAAAGATCATTTCTAT